GACCACCCGAGTTGTCCGACTCAACTCATGTCACCTGACCCTCCAGAAATAGCAAAAGATTCAACAACTATCGGTGCTTGGTCAAATTACAATCATTCTTCTGCCAAATGCAACAGGACTGTTGCTGAAACACTTGAGCAAATTTCTATGGATCGTTTTCACTCACAGCCAATCGAAAACTCAAATTCTAACCTTAGAAGCAAAGAAAGTTTATTGCTTTCTCTTCAGTCACCCAATACAAGCCAATTCTGGATGGAAGGAATAGAGTGCGCAGAACAACTCGGCTTACCAAAACCCATAGTTGTGGATCTTAATTTGACGAAAGAGAAATGTGACCAGCTGTATAAAAAAATCCGAAGGCGACAAAGTGACAGCCATGGAGAGTCAGAATTATTAGGCACAGAAGGGCAGGGCTCGTCAAAACAATTCATCGTTGTTGGAAGCCCTGTTTTGGATGAGACATCAGCAGAAGTAGAGTCACTACCTAATAAAAACACTGGCGATGGAAGTTATAATAGTTTAAACCATGATCTTGAAGATGAGAGCCGAACTAGAATGAACTTTATTCTGACTTCTATGGATTGTCCAATTACACTACCACCACCACCGCCCCAAACTCCAAGTCTATCACTGTCACAAATGTTACTGCTATCACCACCGACAACTTCACCAGTCTTATCTCTACCCTACCCACCTGAACCATTTCCGGCGCTAGAAACAGCTTCCTCCACAATACCAGCATTACTATCTCCCGTTCTGGGGGATAGAAATGATTCATTTAGCCGAAATCGATCTGCCTTTTCCAAAGCACTGCATTCTTCATCGTTAGTTATTTCGAGGCCACCCGAAAATGAATTACTCTCCAGGTGGGTAAACACGAAGGCGATAAATAATCTGTATAATTATGTAGGCCTCTTGATCAGACAACGATAAATTATTAGATGCTTTTAGCAAGAAAACGCAATATAGGTGGGATTTAGATGGCGGATTTAAAGTAAAAATGATCTATACTATAAACACTGGCTGATCTTAATTCCCTATTGAAGACAATATAAAAATAAATGGTTAAGAAGTCTGTTTTATTTTAAGTTCAAGAACACAAAAAATAAGGAATTGAGAAAACGAGTTAAATGAAAAAAGTCAGTAGGCATTTTTAGTAAGAAAGGATATTGGGTGCTTCCTTTGGTAACAACCTTCAGCTTATATGCTATTAAAAGTAGCCGTAGCAGCTCACAGCGTGCTTTAAAGAATCAGTATATTCCTAATTTTTGTCTTAGCTTTGACCCATTAGACACACACCTTTAGAAGGCTGCATAAGAGATAGACCACTGGCAATCTCTAGAGCTAAATACTTTGCACAACCTCAATAAAGTAAATGCCTATGTTTAATATTTTATAATAATGCTAGTTTACATCAAAGTTTTACCCTATTTGATCGTCAGGTGGGAGCATCAGATAACAACTTTTCAAATATAACTTTCGCTTTGCTTATCATACCCATCAAAATTATACGATTTTTAAGCAATATTTTCATTCCATTAGTAAAATGGCTATCGAGAACTTATAATAATTCCCTACACAACATAAATTAACATAGCACGAAATGACGATTAATTTTTGTTATGAGAGTTTTTAAATATTATTACAATAAGGAACTTAAAGACATAATTTTGAAATGAGTCTAAAATGACTTGGCTAGACAGCTCTAGATGGCATTCGACATCGATGAATTATCGAATAGCATAGTTATTAGTTAGAAACGAGTAATGTGTTCAAAATATATTTATATTTTGAGGTTTGGGAAGAGAAAAGTAATGGAAATCAGATAGTGAGGGTTATTCTATCAATATTGTTTTTACTGCTGAATAAGGGCTGTGGCATAAATTTTCAGGCTTTGGGCTCAGCTTACAGAAGGCTAGAAGAAAACCATCAGAGCATAGCAAAGCCTCGTTTATAAGGCGCAGAAACCTTTCCGTTCCAAGCTACAGACATTTATGCACGGAGTAGGAACAGCATTTCCCAACTGTCTTTATTATCTACTAAAGTAAGTTTGATAATTTCCAATTGAGTTACGGCCTTTAACTAAGTGTATAATAGTTATCACTTAGGTTATCTTAAAAGAAAATATTGAATAAATATAAGGAACTCTCTGTCTTATGAAAATTCTCGTAGACGGTTGAAATTAATAGCAATAGTCTTGGACGAAATAATGAGCAAATGCGTATATAGTAGTTATTCTAACTCATTAAAAATCCTTCTATTCAGAAAGGTAACTTGAATTACTTTTAGCTTCTTGATAGATTGACCAAACGATCATTACCAATTTATCATATTTAAATATATTTATGGATCGTCAATGCATTTACAATAATTCATTTTTATGTGATTTAAATGGATTATTTATGACTTTTAGTCAACCGAATTATTCGCAAACCTGTTAAAGTTACGCATCACCCTCACTTAATATTCTTTTATACCCTTAAAATCTCCATATTTTCAGTATCTAACTATGCAAAACACTTCAAAATACTAGCCCTTTCACATATAATGTCATTAGTTACCCATAGATTTTTATCCTCTTAAGACATTTGTTAAAACTATCGGAGAGCAATCCTAAAACCTTCTTACCTTATTTCAGGCCCATAAAGTATGGGTATGGGATATTAAGAGTCACCATAAGCAAACAAAAATTCTATCTATAGTCAGAATTGTTGAACTCTTGGTTCTGACACATTTTGTAATCACTCTGCGCAAGTTTCCTTCTCAATCTAATCATCATAAATCTTGTTACCAGCGCAAAATTAGGCCAATGTTTAGACTAGGTGAAAAGTAATTGCGTACTTATTGCATATTTGACCAATTGATCCGACATGTGGTCGGCCGCCCTCACTATATGCTTGCCAGATTGTCTATTTCCCGTCCTCTTTTCCTCTAAATCTCAGATCAGCAAGCCAATAAACGCATACTCAATGACCATGTATGGATGCTTATATGTTTTGAATTATGACCCGAAATGATGCGAGCGTTCTACCTACTGGCCCAAAGACTTTAGATGCATAGGCATCCTTGCATTGTAAAACATGATTATGTCTTGGATTTTGTGTCTCTAAATGTGACTGCAATTTTGAGTCCACGACCTTGACAGCTAAAGGTGCGCAGTTTT